TGTGTGTGTGTGTGTGCAGTTAATGTTTCGGATTTCTTCCTTAATCCTTATTTATTATTTATTCCTTATTTATTATTATCCAACTTACATAGACGTATATATATACATATACATATACATACATACATACATACATACATACATACATACATACATATATATATATATATATATATATATATATATATATATATATAATAAAGTTTATAAATTTTACAAATTTATATAATTACACATTTATAAATAAATACAAACATGGTATTAGGCTCTTCCCATATTGATAGAAGGTAATATTTGGAGCTCAGAGTTGAACTCTGGGGTCCTTTTGGTGCTCTTTGAGCTTGGGGTTTTCTTTCCATATTGTTGGGTTTGTGAACTTTTAACTTTGATTTATTACAATAAATTATATGTTCCGCTTAATGGCAGTTGGGATCAGTTTGCGGTATTGGTGTAGGATTAAAAACAAAAATAAAGACAATTGTTTTCAATCATTCACGCACCATTGGGAAGTGGGGAGAGATGATGGTCTCAAATGCATTTCTGAAGTATTTCTACAGTTTGGTTCTCTGAAAATGTAGTAATGAAGGGGTTCTTTGGATATCTGGGGAATAAACTGCTCCCAAGGAGGTTAGCCATTACCAGGAAGTATTGAGTGCTTGACACTGCATTTCTTCAGCAAACCTCTCTTCCAGATTTCACTTGATGAACAGGTTCAGTTTTGAGAAGGTAGTGGGGCCCCTTGCTCTGTAGGGCTCTAAAGATGACAATGAATACTGTTAATGGATAGACATTGATACACTTAGAACCATTTGGGCTGGTGTATGCTGTAGCACTAAAGTTTCCAGGTGATCTTCAAGAGCATTCTCATGCAAATGTTGCAATGTGACAAAGATCATGACTGACTGAGAAAAGGCCTCTTGATCCTAGGAAAGTAGAAATTGGTGCACAAGGTGCAGTTGTGTAAAAGATCACAGCTTCCATTTTCTGAAAATAGGAACTATGAATCTAAAAAGACTCCATTGATGTTGGCGAACACCATCTGGAGAGGGATTCCTCAACCAGAGTTTTCCAATCCATAGCATCTGTGCCTTATACAGTAGTGCTAACATCTTTCAGGCACTGCATTAAGACCCCAAATACATCTCCTACCCAGCATAAGGTAGAGATAATTAACTGAACATCCCCAGCATACTAAGGTTACCTCATCCTAGGCCACTGATGTAGATTAGATGCTAAACAGTAAAAGGGAGAGGACCAAGACCCAGATGATTTAAAATACCCGTGGCAGAAACTAATGGTTCTAGGTGAGCAAACTAGTGGAGAAAGCCAGAGAAGATAACTGCTGTATTCATAAATACTAAAAGTTCAACCCTGAGAGAGTTGGGGCCCTGCCCACAATGAAAAATGCCAAGGCTACTGTGATGCTAATTGTGAAGACCCTCAATGTTTTTACTTAACACTTGGAAGTGTTTGAGTTCTTTAATCATGAAGCAGTTATCCTTTAAACATGCATTTATTTTTCCAAGTTTGCCTCACTTGAATTGCATACCTAAGAGAAACTCAAGAGCTCACATACAATTAAATATAAAAACTCCCAGTGCTTCATATTTCTGCTGGTTCCTTGGTTTCTTTTCTGGGTTGATTTAAAATGCTGGTTATTAACTACAAAGTCCTATGTTTTCCATAGTATCTTCCTGACTAATCTTGCAGGGGTTGCTGTGCATCTTGGTTGCTTTGATTAATGTCATATTTTGAGACTCTGGAAGTGCACCTTCTCTGTTGTAACAGCACCTGCCCTCTGAATGAGGTCTCTCCCTCCCCTTCTGGAGGGAGGGTCTGGATATTCCCCATCCTGCTCTTATTTAGAAGAGCCATGAACACCTTGCTCTTCATCCAGGCTTTTGGTAAGGGAGAGTGAAAGTCCTCACTTCATTCCATCTGCTCTGTCATTCTTGCCATCTTTTATCTTTGTTTATCCTCAAATAATTAGGTCCTATGTCACCCAGAGTGTTGGGAATCAGGAGATGTACAACTTTAATAAATTATGATTACATAAAACCACTCTGTCACTAATAATTTGGATTGCATTTGCAATTAGGATGATGACATCCATCTGATTCCTTGGCCAATTGGTAGCCACAATATTAATTTTCCATTTATGCCTGAACAATATTTAAAGCAATATTTCTCTTAACTCTTAAGATGAATTCTAGTCTGTATTATTAAGAACTGTAGTTGCATTGTTTTGTTTACTGGAACAAATTCCTGGAAGTTTATAGGCATTATGTTTACTGCAGAGTGGCCTACTTACCCAAATCAGTTATTTGCTGATTTTCCACAAGTCTGATTTGCATCCTTATTAGGGATTAGAGCTTTCATAGAATAATGTGAGCATGTTTATGGTAAAACTGGGCTTTGTTTGGACTTGTAACATACAGAGTGAAAATGGATACTAGCCAAAGCTGATTGGTGTTGTCTTTTTTTAACATATCATATCATACAGTAGATATGATTAAGCCTAGTAACCCAGTCTAGGCTTCTCTGTTTTTCTGTTAAGGAAGACATAAGAGTCTTGATTGAACAAAGCCATATCAGATAGCAGAGATCAACATATGTGGTCCTCCTTGGTGATGTCGGTCATTTGAAAAATTACATCTTAGACTGGAAATGAATTAATGGATGAAATAAAGGAATATACATATGAATTTGTGAAAGGATATAGCATCTGAATAGCAGAGGTCTGCTCTTATGGAGGTATAAGCTTGAATGAATGAATGAAAAGGCTGAAATAGTGTGGAAGTCAATATGTTGCTCTGTAGAATGAACTCTACCACCTGAGAGGTAAATCCATGCTTCTGGGTCTTTAGGGCAGCTAGAAAGGGATTACAGAAGAATTTCACTCCAAGCAGATGGGCCTTGGTTTCTCTTACATGGAGTTAATGGGTTACATACCTTGCTGATATCTGAAAGGGGCAAGTGCAGCTTCTTAGAAAAGGTAGCCCAATCTTATGCAGTGAGCAACATAAAACACTGAGATTCAGTAGCTATAAAGCTTTATTGATTTCAACGTTTAAGAAAAAGATCAACTGTATGTTCATTCACTCATACCACTTACATGTCTCCTGCTTGTAGCTGAATTAACCAGCTCAACCTGGGTTAAAGGGTGGGGAAGAGGAAAGATTTATAGTTCAGATGGAAGGTGTGGAGCAGGGGTGGGTTCTACTTACCTTTACTACCGGTTCACATCGCGCCGGCATCCGCAGATCACCTATGATGACGTCCAGGTCAGTGGGCGGAGCCTCCTGCCGATTTTACTACTGGTTCTTGTGAACCGGTTCAAACCGGGGGCAACCCACCACTGGTGTAGAGTCTTCCAAAAGGAACGGTATAGGTTCTTTCTGTATTTTTACTCACCAGTATATATTATTTTACAACTTCAGATTTTTTTTAATCTGTTAGGTTAAACCTGATTTGCTGCATGTCAGATAACTTGTTCTTATCTCTGGTTGCTGTCCTCTGGTCTCAATGAATTATTTGAGTGTACAACTAATGTGTCCAGCTAGAGATCCCATTCTTCCATTCCCAGATAGTGATAACATTGAGATTTTTTGCTTATTACTTTAACTATCACACTTGCAATCTCTGGCTGCTTAGTCATTGTAGTTCGAATGGGAAAATGGAAAGCGTAGACCAAAAATATCTGGGTCTAGTTGTTATCTCATTCCCTTCCCCACCAGCTGCTTTTTATATTTTGGTTCAGAGCTAGGTTACATCACCATCATGCATTTTGGATGCAGACATCAAATCTAGCTTGAACCTTCTACTCTTGGTCAGTTTCTTGCATCCTTTCCCACTGGGAAGAAATTCAACTTAGCCTATTAAGTGTGAAGGGGGGGGGATCCATTGTGCTGCATTCATTCGTTACTGTGCCCAACAATTTTGAACAAGTTCCAAGAACTGTAGTAAGCCAAGAACTAAACCTCAAAGCGCATTTTGTCCACTTGAGCACCATAAGTTGATTAGTACTGAAATGACCTTGTCCAGTTGTGGGTCAGTGCTTATGTGAAAACAGTAGACTGTCATTTTTCTGTAGCTTCTATATACATTGTTGAGCAGTGCCGTGTTTTATATAAAGACAGTATAGAGAAGTTACGATTTATAATAGAAGATACCCATTTGCCTATCTGTATTGTTATTTACGATGATGAAAGGAACATGCAGAGCTTTTCTTCCTGTAAGAAACTAAGTCATTTTTTTGTTCCTTTGTACTTCAGAATGCATCCAACTACTAAGCAGGTCTGCATGTCACAATCTGTTAACCTTGGAATGTTATAGAATTCTTCGGTCTGCTGCAAGATATTAATCCAGCTTTTGTATTGAAAATCATCACTGACAGTGTTATACAACAGGCTTCCCACAGTTACAGAGGAGTAAACCAGGAGTTTGCATCTAGTATTTTTATTGACCTCATCATGGTGCTGTGGCAGAAGAAGTCTTTCTATATTACAAAAGGTAGCAAAACTAGAATCTTGGCAAGTTTGTTTAGATTTATATAATGGACCAACTTTTGAAACTCTGACTCTGGGTAATGTATATCAGGTTAAAAAAACACAGAAGAATATAATTGCAAATAAAAGACCATACAAAATTAGAAAGAAAATCCATAAGAAACACAGAAAATTGGGTCAACCAAAAACATGTTCCATTTTCAAAGATGGGCTCATATATTATCCTAATCTAATTCGTGGAAGAAACTACTAGGCGTTTAAAACTTTCAGAAAGGCTAAGAGTTGGAACCAGCCAAGTATTAGGAATGGGTGGGGAGGAATCTGTCTTAAAGGGGCAAGAGCTGCCACAGAAAAGGCATTCTTTCAGATGATATCAAGTAGTAATCGAAGTAGGGATCTGGAACATGTTCATCCTGTTGGATGGGCAGAGATAGATACTCCTGCAAATAACCTGTCCTTTTGCCATGTAGGGCTTTATAGGTGACAATCAGAATGTTGAGTTGCAATGAAAAGCCTTTTAGAAGTTCATAAAATAATGGTGTTACATAGTCACAACCTCGTGCACCCATGACTAAGTGCATTGCCACCTTCTGGACCAACTGGCACTTGAAGCCAGTTCTTCACCATTTTAGGCCGTCAAAGCTGGCTGGGGTATTCTGGGAGTTGAGGTCCAGACATTTTAAAATTGCCATGTTAAGAACTCCTGCTTCAGACACTAGAAATGGGTTTTGATAGCTTCACTTGGTTAGCAAGGGGTAAAGATGTACAACCAAGTATTAACTGATAATTCAATGCATGTGGATTCAAGACATGAAGATTCAACTTCATGTGGATGTTTTAAGAAAAAAGTGTGAACCCTCAAGCATCTCGAGAAATAGGGATCCAGGCTAGACTTTTCTGCCAACACTCATTCCTGTCCAGAGGAATTGACGAGCCAATTCCAGAGGAAAAACACTATGCCTCCTATTCTAAACCCCTCGTTTGGTCCAGAAGAATGCCATAACTGATGTATCAAAGATCACTCAGAAATCAAGGAAGACAAGGATGCACTGCCCCATCTCAAGTCCCCCCATAGGCTATCAACAAGTGAGACCAGTGCTACCTAAGTACCATATCCTAGTCTGAACTCAGACTAAAAGAAGCCGAATAATCCATTTCCTCCAGGATGCAATAAATACGCAACTCAATTATCTACTTTCTCCATTGATTAAATCATTTCTCCCCTTAAAACCACATATTCATTTAAAAAAGCGATAATTACGTCATTTAGCTAGCTAACATAGGGGATATCTGTAAAATGGCCATTCCATTCCTTGATAGGAAATACCATTACATTCTGAAGCATTCCCACCATAGGACAGCTCTTTCGGTGCCATCTGGGTGTCCCTCAGAATATCTTTGCTTTGCACAGCAGTCTGGAAATGCCAGCTTCTCCTCTTGCAACGTACCTTCTAGTCACAAGTATAAAACCGTCCCTTAACCAGCAATTCAACTGTCTGCTGAAGAATCTGTTGGGCGATTCCTATCACTTTGGTTCCTGGTCAAACCTCAATAATTTACTTAGTGTTCTAACTTACATTTTCACTTCCTTTTTCTTCTATTGTCTGTCATTCTATCTTGCTAGAGTCTGAAAAAATATTTCTTCAGATGGTGTACTTTAGCTTCTCTAATGTACAGATGCACCACTATACCACATTATCTTTTTATGTGATGTGTACCCATTCTTGCTAAATACGTTTCACTTCCTGCTTTTTTGGTTATTCTACTGGTTCATTTCCTTAAAGCAGAGGCATGTATTGGCCTTCTGCTGTCATTGACTCTATTGCTTAGATCTGCTCCAGTTTGATTCTTGTTGATTAAGGAAGCCAAATGATGAATTCCCATTTAACTGATGCCTAGGATTTTGCTCTGCCATATAAGCCCTATATTTTGGCATCAGATAAATTTATAAAATAAGATAAAGACTTTTGCTTCATAAATATATAACAGCAATGAACATATGTAATAGTGCTTTCAGATGCTAGGATCTGTCAGCTACGATCACAACAAATGGGCTACCACAGAATTGTGGACTTGGAAGGGCATTTAAATTTGGTCTCCTTTCCTAGCTTTATATGCTAATTCTACTCTGAAAAATATTCATTAATCTTTGTCTTTATATTCATAATTCTCTTTGTCTTAACCTTATATTCTTGTAGCAGAATTTTTTTCTTTCTCCCCGTGATTCATTATTAACATTTCTATGTGTCGGGCTTCTTTGAGATGCAGCAAGCGGAATATAAATTGATTAAATGAATGCGATAATACTTTTAAAAATTGTAAAGGACAAGCATGAGTCACACAAACTGTTCTCACACAAAGATGATAAAAGAGAACAAGTTCTTTAATTCGTAAAGCAGGAGAAGTAGACTGAAATTCCTGTATCTCCTATCATATGCTCTGTTTATTTTTCATCCTTACCTTGTTCTTTGCAGGCTTAACCTTACTCGCAAATATTAGAGCCTGTTTTTCCACTCGGAGGGAGCTGGTTGTCACCTGCTGTAATTTGGTTATAGTAGGACAAGACTACTGAAGTTATTCTCATAGTTGCATCTTCTGTTGCTGTTCTAGTGAATTCCTGGTAAAATGAAAAGAGCTGATGTGGAAGGTAGTTTCAGAGGTATTGTTGTAACCACAGTTCTGTATATGGTAAATGGACATCATAGACAGAGAACAAAAATATAGCTTATGCAGAAGTATAGATATTAAAAATGGGATATTTCAACTAAATTGTTAATATAAATGAACAACACGGTTGCTTTTATTATATGAGGCTGGGTTGGGATTCAAAAGAGGCCTGTATATTTCATGGCTAATGTAGGATAATTCTGGAGAGAATCCTGATGAATTAGAAGAGGATTGTTGCAGTGTGGCTCTCTACCTTTGGGCAGCTTCTTGAGCAGAAAGTTTCTCCTTGTTGGTGGAAGAAAGTAAGGGAGGGAAGGAATGCCTTTGCAATCCACCTGTTTCCTTCACAAAAACTGGCAGGAAATGATGCTTCTTGGAAAACCCAAATCAATACTTTAAAAGTCATCTTTGGCAGCCAGGATATCATACATGTATGGCTTTTATCTGGCATGCACACATCAAAAAGGCAAACACAGCAATCCCATAAGAGAAGAGGGTATGTCATGTCAATTTTGTAAGCAAAGGGAACCATTCACCAGGATTCTCAATGGACCAATCACTCTGCAAGGTTCTTCTTCATTATTATTATTTGATACTAACTGGGAGAAAATTTTCTCAGTCATCTTGGCCAGATCCTTCTGCCTGATAGGTCTAAAGTTGGTAAACTAGTTTCAATTGATGTTAGTAGCAGGATGGATTTGATTTAAATTGACTCGATTTAAATCACAATTTAAAATCACACTAGTAAAAAGGCTTGATTTAAATCAACTCAATTTAAATCATAATTTTTAAAGAACAACTGTCATCTCAGTCCCACAGCGACTGCTCCTCTGACCCGCTGTTGACTCACAAACAGTTCCATTCACTTTAATGGGACAGCTGGTGATGCGGCAGTGACACAACAAGGTGAGGGACATGGCAGGCAGCAGGTGAGTGGATGCCCGCTAACAGGCACTGCCATGATGGATCTGAAATGACAGGTGCTCTTTAAATGTAAGGACTCATTCTTGCTGGTAGTTAGAATCTTTAATAATATTTGCAAACAAAATGAAGGTTTCCTATTTGGCTTGCACAGCTTGGATTCATTGAATGAGTTTACCAAAAATGTAAATATTTCAGAATATACAGCCTCATGCTACATAACTAAACTCCATTTCATGCTTTATAAACTAAATTATTAATGTATCTTAAAAAGAAAACTATCTTTAGATAGATTTTTACTCCAAAAGAATTTTATTAAAATAAATTTGATAAAAATAAAAAAAACATTTAAATAAAAATCCGATTTAAATTTTTTTTAAAAAAAATCATCTATTTTTATCCACCCTGGGTAGGAAAGGGAAACTTCTTCTCTCAAGACTCCCTGAGGCTTCCAGAGGCTCAGTCAGTGGCTCTTAATACTTCCTCAGTTCATCCCAGCTCCTAGATTACTTTAACATTTTACAAAGGAAAGGCAGCCAGAGTCAAATCCAGAGAATACACCTTGCCTTGATTATTTCATCCTGGCACTGTTGAGGCCTAGACTGGATGACTGTAATATGCTCCATATATACAGTATATTGGCCTTTCATTTAATGACACCTCAGAAACTCCACTGGTTCAAAGTGGGGCCAATTAGGTGTTGGAGGCAAGGCATTCAGTTTATAGGATACCAATATCGTAATAGCCATATTTCTTACCAAGTGTTTTCAATCCCAAAGCCTTGACTTTAAACTTCAAAGCCTTAAATAGGTTGGAACTAAGTTACTTGAAGGAATATCATCACCTGGCCAGATTTTAAGTTGGCCTCCTTTCATTTATTGCTGTGAGCAGGGCAGATTGGCAAATATAATGGAGGTGACCTATTCCACACCTGGCTGTTGTATGGGGCCAGGTTGACTCCATTGTTACAGGGCTTTAGGTAACCATCTCAAGAACTCTTGTTGGGTCATTTCTTAAAGCGTGCTCTTGGTTTTTACCTGCAATTTTGAGTTTACATTTTACTTTTATCTGCAGTGGATCCTTCTTACTGTTCCTTCTATTTATTTATTTGAAGAATCTTGTCAGCTTTTTTTCTATGAAGCTGAGCTAGAAACACCTAAATAAATCAAACTATTTTTTTTAGACTGTAGGGTGAACTTTTTATAAGCTTCAACAGTTGTTGGGAAGTTTTGTATCTTTACACTTCCATGCTGCAACTTTTTATGTTAATTCCTGGATTTCCATTGTTTGAGGGTGATGATGGAACGGCCTTTTTGGGGTGGAGGGGAGGGGGGTGTCTATTTCAATGCTGGCAAAACTGTAGCTTCATTCTTAATGGTGGCTAGCAATCAGTGACATCCCTGGTGCTAAGCAGTGAATCTGTTCCATAAATCCTTGCCAATAAAAAGGGATAAAGACTCCAGTACGCATTGGGAGTACTGGAGATGTCAAGCCTGGAACAGCTGCTATTATTAAGTCATTTCTCATCAGTAATCTGCTAATTAACCTTCTGAAAATAGAAACAATTTTGCTTAGTGGGAAATAATTTTCCAGTCATTGTAATGACACAGGATTCCCCACTTGGGAACAAGACTGACATCATTACAAATTTCAATCATTCAGTGTTTAATTGTAGCAGAGTATTTCAAGTTATAAGCTTCTCTTGAGTAATATTATTTGCCTTTCGCCAATCTAACCCGCTTGACATATGTGCAGAGTGTGACCTCCATAAACTGAACTATTCAGGTGGAAGACACGGCAAAGTTACCGTAACTGAAATGTATTCAATGCTCATAGTGTTATACTGCAACTACAGTTCTATATAGGTTGCTGGGTTCAGGCTCTTCAATCTGAAAGCTACTTTTTTTAAAAGGTAAACATTTTTTTATATGACTGTATAATTATTTATTTTATTAATGGCAGTTTGGTATAGGTATTAAGGCATCAGGCTACATACCAGGAGACTGTGAGTTCTAGTCCCACCTTAGGCTCAAAGCCAGCTGGGTGATCTTGGACAAGTCAGTTTCTCCCAGCCATAGGAAGGAGGTAATGACAAACCACTTCTAAAAAAAAACTTGCCAAGAAAACTGCAAGGACCTGTGTCCAGGCAGTCTCCAAAAACCACACACAACTGAACAGAAGGGGGGGAAAAATATCCAAGCAGGTCAAAGCACCATTGTTTTTCCTGCAATGTTGATTTTATCACTGTTTTAAATTTTAATTGTTGCAAATCACAAACAGTAATCATTTTGAGTTCATGTGACCTGATCAACCACTGGTAACATTCCAAAAAACTGAACGGTGGAAAAACCATGGACAACAGAGGCGAGAGTAATATGGCAAAGATGCAGTCCATTAACCAGGGGTTTTAGTAGAGTGCATTGTATAAATAATACATTGTTGGTGCAAATGATCTGGTGAGTTTTGTGCTTGGGCGTTGATATGAATCTAGTCTCAGTAATCTTCCAACGCAGGCTCTTAATGAAAATGTTACAAAAGAGATTACAGCATCTGATTTTGAACATATAATTTATACATCTCTCTTTTGAAGAATTCTGGCATTCAGCCTCAACACATACTAATTCATTACCTATAATTCAACTTGAAACCTGAAAGATAGTTGAAATTTAGCTAGAGCATGGGTGTCAAATGCACATCACATTGTTGTCATGTGACATTTTGCAACATTTTTTCCAGTCGCGGAGCTGGGATTGGCATGGCCTGCACGTGACACATCCAGCTCATAGGCTGTCAGTTTTGACACCCCTGAGCTAGAGAAAATTACAATTTTATTTGGCAAAGTTTTGTTTATAAATTACATGCATTCTTATGTTGTGCACCTGTGTGATATTTTAATTATCTCATAATTTCTAATGCTGCTAAAATCGAACTAGATCATTTGGTCTATGTAATCCAATATCATCTTCTCCAATTGCAAGCAGCTTTGTATGCTTTTGGGTAGGGACTTCTTCCATCATTTTGGCTACTGCAATGTGCTCTATGTGGGGCTGCCTCTGAAAAATAGAATCTTCAATTGGTTCAAAAATGTGTTGACACATGTGGTTTTGTGCAAGACTAGATTTAGTCACATCTATCACTTTTCTTATTGCTGCCAATTTGCTTCCTGGTCCAACTCAAGGTGCTGGTTGTCTTCTTTAAAGCTCTCCTTGGCCTGGGGCCAGTTATATCTACCCAATCCACCAGAGCCAAGGTAGGCAAGGGATATTATGGGTCCCTTCTCCTAAGGAGATCCATGTACTGGAACTCTCTCCCTGTAAAAACTATCCTTGCAGAAATAAAATTGGCCCCGACTTGACCCTTTTTTGAAAGGCTCTAAACATGGGCCTGGGGACTCCAGGATGATATGGAACCCATCAAATGATTGAATGTTGTTGCTAGGGGGGGTGAGGCATCGGGGTTTATTGGGTCTTGTATTGGGGTTTTATTTCTGAAAGCCACCTGGGACCACAAAGAGTTAGGTGGGCAGCCATATAAATTTTCTTAATAAAAAATCATCTACATCTCAGCATTTAACTGGTTTATGCAGTGGTGGCATTAACATGAAACACACGTACATTATGCAAGAGTTCAATTTAGACCTTATGTACCATGTTTCATAACTTCTGATGTGTGGCTAAGAAAGAGCAAGACATATGAGAGAAATGTTTGCACCATTTGCATTAGACTTGTCATCTATTGACAATCCACAACAAAATCAAAATGATGGCTTATATCTTGATGTCATGTTATATAATTTGTCTTATGAAATCTCAAGTACATAGAGTATTGGCATGATGTTACAAGACACGTGCCACCTTTTACTCCCCTTTGGACTCCCATACTTCACAACTCCATCTATCACACAGCTGTCAGGAATTACTCTACTAGACACAGCCATTGATGGAAATAACTTTTCTCTTTGATTTAACTAAATTGCAAAGGGTGGACCTTTGGCATGTAAAAATGCTATCAGAGCAAGGCTCAAACAATTAGCATTGCTAATGACTTGGATTTGCTCCTTCCCCATGTTGTTTTTTTACAAACATGAGAAGGGTGCAGTGCATGTATTTTTTATTACAAATTTTATTAGTTTATTGAAATATAAAATACAAAGAAAAATTAAATAATGGAAAAGTAGGGGAGGAAAGAGGAAAAAGTGGGTAAAACAGGAAAGAGAAAAGCATTGACTTCCAACTCTTAGTGCAATAGAATAAGGTAATAACGTACAACCTCAATGTTTTACTTTTACATAGTAATATATACTAGTCATTTCTATACTGACAAACCTATCTAATCAGCAAAACCCCAAATCAAAGTTTCAGTTTTTTTCCATCTCAAACACCAGAAGTGGTTTCCAAGTAAAAGTAACTTGTCTTCTAAAGAGTCAATTTAAATAACACCATCAGTTTTTACAGCCAGTTCTCAGTTGTGCAGTGCCTGTATTTCTGATGTCAATCCAAGAAAGTCCAATGATCCAAAGCATATGAGAGGAAATGGGGGTTTCTGATGGTAACGAGCACACAGGATGCACTACATTGAGCAATTTCCATACTAGTGAATCAATATCCCAGGGAAATGAAGTCATTGTTTGAAGACTGGATGTTAAAGACTGGTGAGAAAGCTAGATCACCTTTGTGCACATGGAGGAATGTGCATCCAAGATTAGTATTCCTCTATCAGATGACTGCATTGTATCTTAGCAGTTTTATATCAGGGTCATTTTAACATTTTAGATTCACATTATGAATCTCAACAGTGAAAAAGACCAAACATTTAGTTTCTCTTTCATTTGTAGGAGTTAGACCCAGGATCTAAGTTGAACTCTTCTTCCTATTATTTTTCTTTTGTTTTCATTTATAGCAACTAGTTCTGGAACATCTCTCTTGAAAGACCGAATAATTTAAGAACTGTCCTTTAAATTCTCTTTCCTCTTAATTATTCATATAATCTGTAATTATTTTTGTGCTCTTGAAAAACAGGAAAGTTTAAGTCATAGCAAATACAAAAGATGGCCTATGATCCTTTAAGACTTCCTTTTAGGAGATATATGGCTGGCCACATCTGTGACTACTTTAAAGGTTTTAAAAACTCATCTGTTCTCTCTGCATTTTAATTGAAAAAATTTATTGTATTTGTTGATGACAGGCATTCCAAGGTTGTGTTTTATTGCAACAGGCTGCACTTGAAACTGTTTACAATTAATATCACTGAACTAGTTTTATGGTCTTACCTGCCCAGAAAAGATGCTGATTTTGAAAATAAATTTAAAATAAATACATGGCATGAAATAAAAATATACCCAACAGGGAGATTTGCGGTCAGATTGCTTCTGTTGAAGCAACAGATACGGATGATGTTGAATTGTCTGTAAGTCATAAAATCTTTGCTACTGAATATGTAAAGCAGAAATTTGTATATCACTCCAGCAATGAGAAACAAGTCTCACGCAAATCAAACATAGTGGGAGATGTCCATGTCCCTATTTTTCATGCAGGAAACAAACATTAAATACTTACAGCTGCTTGACCATATATTCTTTAATATGGGACACAGTTTTGATCAATTGATCAAACTGATAAATAATTACTGGTAAGTGAAGCTATAAAACAGAAAAGGTGCCTGGACCAGATAGTTTACAATTGTCACTGTTGGGGGAGAATCTCTGTGGTAAAAATTGGTGTTTTGTATGGCAAGGAAAAATGCTACAAGTTAAATATAAGATATACAAGATGCAAGAAAAAGAACTGGGTTTACCTGATCTGAAATAAGATATTACAGCTTGTCTGGATGAGAGGACAGATATTGCTAAGAAATAAAAGACTGTTAGAATTAGAGGAACATAAATAATCTGAGATTAAGTTAACTATAGCTACATTTCAAATGTTTATTTGTATTCCTCCTGTATTATTTTTACAAATATCTCAAAGCAGCAAATATACATGACACACCTTCTTCCTCCTATTTTCCCAACAACAACCCTGTGAGGCGAGAGTGACAGTCCCAAAGTCACCCAGTTGGCTTTCATGGCTAAGGCATGACTGGAACTCATTATCTCCTGCCGTCTAGCCTGCAGCCTTAACCACTAAACCAAACTGGCTCTCATGAAATCTAGTGTAATACTTATAAGAATCCAGAATGAAAACTGCCGCACCAATTTAACAATTATAATGCATTTTATTTTAGAACTTTCGAACAATTATTAAACACTCTAATCAATCTAAGAGTTTGAGTAATATTTGTTACAATCTCCCCCCAACTTAATGGTTAATTAAATAGCCTCTCCTGTACTATTTTTTTACCACCAAAAACTGTCACCTGAATTGCCTTGAGAGTTTGCTTAATTCATTTTAAGTGAAACTCCTCTAACAGATAATAGCAGTTTTGCTTCTTTCATGTGAAAAATTCTGTATAGGGTTCTGTTTCTATATTTATATGCCTCACCATCTTTCTATAGTTGGATGTAAGAATTCAGGAAGCAAAGTGAAAAATTATTATACATTTCTCAGATGATGCAATATTTCCCCGTTAATTTCCAAAATGTTTCCTCTGCCCAACTTGTTCCATCTTGTTCTTTGTCGATTTCATCTATGATCTGCAAAAAGGTTTTATTAAACATCTAAAAGAAAAGATGGATCATTCATAATGCCAAGTTATACTTTAAAAACCCATCAACTTCTGTGGACTAGGAACAAGGAGAATTTTGAACCCTTGAAGATTTGGCGTGTCAGTTCAGAGATTTTGCATGATGCATGCTGACAGCTCTCTCTCAACACATACACATATACAAAGGTTATCTCTCCTAGGGTGAAAAGCATACCAACAACTAATATCACATATTCTACCTCCAACTGAACAACTTTTTTTTAAGGAGGAAGGAATGCCCTGGACTAGTTGGCAGACATGTGTTTCACTTAAAATACTTATTTGATTTCTATAGCCACTCATGTCAACAAATGGCTCTGGGTGGCAAACAGGTAATCCTTGATTTACAACCATTTGTTTAGTGACTGCTTGAAGTTACAATGGCACTGAAAAAGACGTATGACCATTTTTCACACGACCACTGCAACATCCCTATGGTCATGTGATCAAAATTTCGGTGCTTGGCAACTGGCATGTATTTATGATGGTTGCCCTGTCCTGGGGTCATGTGGTCACCATTTGTAACTTTCCCAGCTGGCTTCCAACAAGCTAAGTCAATGGGGGAAGCCAGATTCCCTTAATGATATGATTCATTTAAAACTACAGTGATTCACTTAACAACTGTGGCAATAAGGTTATAAAATGAAACAAAATTCACTTAACCCCTTTGCTTAGCAATGGAAATTTTGGGCTCAATTGTGATTGTAAGGCAAATTCTAATTTCTGTACATTCTAAAATGTAAGAAAAGCAATTAAAAACAATACAAAATAAATATATGGTTGCCAAATAAAACCTACTGCCATAGATGTTAATACATGCAAGAAATAGTGCCCTTAACACATTTGTGGTGCCAGACCTGAGCGCATAACCAAGTCTTCACAGCCTTATGAAAGTCCAGCAGGGTCATCCTGATCTCCGAAGGGAGAATATCCAGAGACAGTGGCTATGGCAGAGAAGGCATGTCTCCTGGCCCCCTCCAGCCAACATTTCTTGGATGACAGGGCCTGCAACATGTCCAAGCTGTCAGACTGAATTGGATAGGTAGAAACGAATGGGAGAAGATAGTCCCTTAGATAACCTGGCCTCAAAGACATGAAGGTTTTAGAAAGCTTAATTAAAACTTATGAATCAAGCACTGTTCTTCTTGGCAAAGCCTCAACTGCATGCCATGCCCGTACTCATTAAGAAAATATTTTGTTTATATATCTAATTTTTAGCTATCCCCAAACTGGCTCTGTGTTTAATGCTAACATCTAATTGTTAGCATTATTCTGCAAATGGAAAGCTTTTATATTTTCTCTATAAAATAGAGGGGAAAAATTGTGTCACAGAGTTGGAACAAAAGTCTAAACAAGCTGCGAGACAACACCCTTTCCTGCCTCTCTCCTCATCATGCAGTCTTATGTACGAATGTTGTTATACCATCCTATGAAACATAAAAGTCTGGGCTGAAAAACCTGCCAGCAGAAGGCAGAGTTGGTGTTAACTTTAGGCAAAGTGGAAAAAAAGTCTCAGTAATAAGTGAGTCGCACTCTCTGAGTGGCATCAGAGGAGACGGCTGTGTATCACAGGCCTTCCCTGAACCTAAGTTAGCTACTGCCTTCAAATGCAGAAACATGCCAAGGCTGTGTCATGTGTGTATCCATCCCCCCCGGTCCGTCTGTTGCCCCCCTCCAGGTTAATGCAGAAAGAAAACTGAATTGCTAGTCTATTGGCTTTTGTAACATGGAGGATCTGTCAAGCAACAATTTGTAATGGACCAGGCCTAGCAGCCAGGTGTTCATGCATTAAGTAATGAATTCAGAATTCTTGTTTGCTCTGGCACCAAAATGCTCCAGCATCCACTGGGTGAGGATGTGAACAAAAATGGTTTCCTCAAACTATTCTAGGCCTCCACAAAGTTCCTCTTATTTCCATGCATTTCAGAAAACCAATTTTTCCAGAACAGCCAGTACAAATCACATTAAGGGGTCGGTCTGATGCAATTTACTCAAATTTCAGGAATGGGTGGCCTAGCATACTGTAGGCACATCGTGGCCATCTGTGGGCACATCATGTTTTGAACTTGGAGAAGCAGCTGAGGGAAACGGTAAGAAAACCCACTTCCCTTGTTTCTCCATGGGTGTTGGTAGGAGAAGCAGATAATGGCTCCTCTGGTGCCAGTTCTCTTCTTCCACCACAGGACTTCTGCTGCTGGTAATTGGCATCAGAGGTGTTCCTCATTCCAACCCAGTCATCTCTTGGGGCTTGGGTGATGGTAGGAGCCCTATTTTGCTTCATTGCCCAAAGTGGTCAACACTTTCTGAGCTAGCTCAACTTTGTGCAGCTCCTACATGGGATGACAGCACTTTAGAGCTGCCATGAGGAAGAACCCATGAAGTGAAAGTTTTCTTTCCACATTGCATTACTCCTTTGCCACATTTTGATGTTCATGGGCTAGCCTCAGTACTTTTGAAAGATCTCAGAATACCAGAATTGAATAACCCAAAGGATTCTTTTTGGACGACAGGTTTCAGTAATTAATTCTTGCTATGGAGACTGAAGAAAATAGTTCCTTTCTAAAGACATCTCTACTTATTCACGACGGTCCCAAAATGACAAGTGTCAATGACATCACAATGCAAATTTTAATCATTTATTTAATGCATTTTTTCCCTTCCATTTCATTACAGTTTGATTCTCTGACACTACCTGCACAAGTCCCTGCAGTTTTTGTGGCAAAGTTTTTCAGAAGTTGTTTGCCACTGCCTCTTCTCTGGGGTTGAAACAAAGTGACTGGTCCAAAATTATTCAGTTTGCTTCGGGCTAAAGCGGGATTAGAACTCACAGTCTCCCGGTTTCTAGCCTGATGCGTTAACCACTACAACCAAACTGGTTCTGAATTTAATGGATAGGTTATCCCAATTTGTTAAGGGAATTCTGATGCCCCAATTGTGCAGGTCACAAAATGCAACACTATAAATAATATTTTAATAAGTTTATATGCAAGTTCAAAAGCCTAAGGGATCCTTCTTGCTCTCTGAGCTTGGTTGTTTTCTTGCAGACATTTTATTACCCAAACAAGGTAACATCAGCAGAGTGCTGATGGTGTTATCTAGTTTGGGTAATGAAATATCTTCAAGAAAACAACCAAGCTCAGAGAACACCAACAACCCCTCATTTCAACCCTGAGCTACAAATATTCTCCTTTATCAATATCAAAGCCTGAGCCTGAGTGGCGCAGCAGACTAATGCTACTGTTAAAGGTAGTATTTAGCTTCCAGCTGCCTGCAATTACTGCGAGTTCAATTCTCACCAGGCTCAAGGTTGACTCAGTCTTCCATCCTTTCTGAGGTAGGTAAAATGAGGACCCGGTTTGTGGGGGCAATAAGCTGACTTTGTATAAAATATACAAAAGTATGAAGGCTATTGCTTAACGCATTGTAAGCGGCCCTGAGTCTCCGGAGAAGGGCGGCATATAAATAAATAAATAAAAAAAAAAGGCCAGAGTTTATATTATGTTGATGCTGCCCCCAAGCCCTTCCCAATATTTCTTTCATTACTCTTAGAATTTGGCCAAAGTTTTCTGTTTTTCCCCAAATTACTTTCACATAGGTACAAAAATAAGTTAATGAAACAACATAAGAAGAAAGCAAATATGTGCTAATCCTGACCTCAGGATGCTTCTAAATTCTCAAGCCATTTTAGAAATTATGTGTTCTATAAGTATGCTATGCATACAACTTCATTTTTATTAGTTGTGTTTATTGTACCACCAGATGCCATTGGGGGAAATTCAATTAAAAGGAATTTTGCACTTTATGCATTGTTATGCCAATAACTGCTTTACTGATCACATCTAATTACTGGCTATAAACAAGTACGCATAAAGTTATCTATAAACATGCAGTTAAGACACATCAAAGGAGGTAACTGGTTATTCTTGAATTTTTGAAGATGTTTGGCTCTTTCATGTATTACATGTTTATTGAAGTACACTGGCACTGTAGCTCTAGCACAGAATGGTTGTTGCAAGTACAGTGTGCCTCTAATTCAGAGTATAGTGGAATCTAATTCCACCTAATATGTAAAGACCAGAATTGTTCAATATAATTTAGCAAAATCACTTCAAACTTTAATTTTGTGCTTTTCTATATGCCTTAATAAAACCCAATGGTTCTTCTATTATATGCCTTAGGAGTAAGACACTAACAATGTAGTGGCAAGGCATATTCTTTCTATACTTTTCAATCCTTCAATAAGTTCAGAATTTGCCAACACAAAATACAGTGGCTGTGTTTAAATGATATACTAAACTATAGTTTGATTAGCCATGGTTTACTACATGAGCCACAATTACATTCACACGATACACCAGAAATCCATAATTTTCAGGCAATGGCTGGGTTCATACAACTTGCTGATTGACAAACCTTAGAGAACAATTAACCAGTGGAACGACTTGGCTCCAGAAGTTGTGAGTGCTCCATCACTGGAAGTTTTTAAGAAGAGATTGGATGGACATTTGTCTGGAATGATAACGTCTCCTGCTTAAGCAGGGGGTTGGACTAGAAGACTCCAAGGCCCTTCCAAGTCTTACTCTGAAAAATCACAATTGGCATATTGTATTATGTCAACTCACCTAATGGAGTACAGGATAAACACGTGCCAATCTCTTGTCTGCAAGAAACAGTCAGCTGAAAAATTCCACCAAAAGGAGAGGGAAATTTTGCAATTTTCCATCACAGCATTTTCTCCTGAATTTCAGGTCCATGGTTAATCCATAAGGACCTGAATTGCTAAAGTCTATAGGAGACAATCAATGGCTTACCAAACTCCAGAATCTTACTCCTCAGTTGTGAAAGCCATATCCTGTCTAAAATAGAACAATCCTATGAACTTATTTTTCAGATCTAAGCTGAATTCAAGAGATTTACTACCAAAAGCAGCTGCCCTTTAATTTTAACGATGCAATTGCTGAGGCTTTTTAAGTAGACCGCCTTCTAAGTAAGCCTCCATTAAAAATAGAAAACACTTACCGGATTCCCAGTAGGATCGCCATGGCATTCTTTAGGGAGAATTACGCGCTAGTGCAGTGGCCAAGATTCTCCTCGGAGAAAATGCCCGAAGCATCGCGCTCCTGCGTAGCAGCAATCCTGTGCAATACTCACCAGGAAGTAAAAACAAGACGGGTTGGAAATCGCTTCCCTGGAAACCCGCTTCGGACCCCTCCTGCGTTGGCACGTCCGCCGACATTAATACCAGCGGCACATACCAGTGAAGATCATGCCCCGAGTGCCATCCTGCACAGCCCCAAGAAACAGCCGCAAACAGCGCGCAGGCGGCGGCGGCGGCAGATCAAACACCCCTCACCTGCGTGCCTCGCCACCAACCTCCACCTCATCCTCATCAGCTGGTCCAGAGGGGCGTCGTCGGCGTCGCTGGTTCGGCCGAGGACTCGAGCGCAGGCAACAAGGCAGCGTCTGGTTGCCGGGCGAAACGCTCCCAGCTGCGGCGGCAGGTTGCGTGGATCAGGAAATTAGGGCAGCCGGTTGGGATTGGAGGCGCTCGCGAGCCAACCAGAGGCCGCCCAGGCGTCCGTGAGTCACCGGCGGCAGCGGCGCGCAAGGAGAGCGGAGCGGGGAGGCTGGTATAAGAGCGGCGCCGAGCTGCCCTCCCCTTTGTGTACGTTCTTCGGCTCTTCCTTCACCGGCACGACCGGTGTGTGTGTGTGCGTGCGCGGGTGCACGCGCGCCGCCTTGCCCGGCACCTCCTGGATTTCTGCTTCTACCCCCCCCCACCCCTCCCCACCGCCCGCAACCTTCCCCCCTCCCTCCCTCCTTCCCCCCCGCCGCGCGCGTTTTTGCCTCGGACTGGAATTGCCTCCTCGCATCGCCGCTGCATTGTCTGCTTCTGGCCGCCCTACCTGGAGCCTTTCCCCCCCCTCCTCCACCCACCCACCTACCTACCTACCTACCCTCCGGCGGACGCTCTTTACCTTTCTCAGAAGGGGGAGGGCAGCGAGGAAACAGTCCCCCCCCTCCCCGCCTGCGCGTCCGCCTTCTGCCCCGAACTTGTACAGTGAGGAGGCGCTGCACGATGGACACGTTCTGGCGGCGGGGACTGAGGCCGGGGCTGCTGGTGCTGCTGCTGGCGCTGGCTTGCCTGCGAGGAGCGCGTGGTGAGTAAGGGGGCTCCGTTAGCTCGGAAGCTGCCGCGGCTCCCGGCTGTCTCCCCGGGGACGCCTGGCAACCGGGTAGGCGGCTGGGCGAGGGCGGCGGGACGCGAGCGAGCCGGCGCGGTGGCTTTGCCTCTGGGGAGCGGCGGACTCCTTCGTTTCTCCAGAAATGCCTCCCGAAGAGCAGGAATTCTAACGCACACGCATATACACGAAGGGCTACGTGCTCTTGCGCTCGTAGTCAACATCCCTTTTTTTTTCCCCCCCTCTTGCCCGTCCGCCTTGCCCAGACGTCGGGTGGAAAGGCGGCGGCGGGGAGGGGGTGCCGCTTTCCACTTGGTCTCGGGTGGCAGTCGTGGAAAGCCTCGCTGCTGCCGGAGAAGAGTGCGTGGTGAGAGGAGCAACCTGGCCTCCTGCGGAGGGTGTCCCGGCCTTTCTTTGTTCTGACAGCTGTTGTGGGCTCCGCCGTAGCTTTGACCCTGAAGTTGAGCCCTTTTGCTCAAAGGGGAAGCTCCTCAAGTGCTCCCTTGCTCCCCCCCCCTTTCCCGTGGTTTGGTACATCTGAAGGGAACCTCTTCAGTGTTGGCCGTAGAACTTTCCATCTGCCTCTAGGGGGGGAGGGCAGGACCTTGAAGAGTTCTGTGTCGCACCATATTGTTGGTGGGGCTCTCAAGAGGACACTAGTGTAATATGTTTGTGTGCTCCCTCTCTGTGTCACTAATCAGGAACTGTAACTGTGGTTTAATGGCATTTATAACTGTAACTGTAACTTAATGGCTGGGGGGGACAGCATTAGGCTCCCAAGTGAGAATGGGGTCAGCGGAGGAGTTACACAGAAGAGGAAGGCTGTAGTAGCAGATGCTGAGAATGCTGTCCCTAAAAAGAGATCAGGGAGCTACTTCAAATGAAAAATGCAGATAGTAGATACTAGTGATAGATCTGGGGAACATAGTTTGGGCAATGTTACATGGCCTGCAGGGACCAGAGACACACAGTGCATTGTTCTCTGCAGTATTTTAGTTGGCATATGGAGCTGGTTTTGAAGGCCAGTGATGTTTTTAATTAATGCTTGAAGATGTGTTTGAGTGGTTTAATCATGAAATAGCTACTCCCTTAAATAATAATCCTGGTCTGCTTTCCTCTGCTTGCCTAACTTTCTTGAACTGTGCAGCTGGAGAAGATAAAAACTGGGAGAAACTCCCCCACTCAATTAAGAACTGCCCAATCCTTCATGGTTCTGCTAGTTCCTAGTACTATAAGTCTACGCAAAGCAATTATTACGAATAGGATTGCACTGTAAGTGCTGTAGGATGGTGACTTGCAATAGTTGTTGGCAAATGTTAATTTTATGGCTGGGGGAGGCCATTTAAAGCCAAGCTAAAATTCCAGGGGTGTCTTAACTAGGAACACGTAGGTGAGATTGTTTTGTTTATTAGAACAAATTCTTTGGACTCAGCTACATTATGACTAGGATTATTGCAGATGGATTTGCAGTACTTGGCCACATCACGGTTTGCTTCCTTTCTGTAACTTGAATAACCTTTTAACTTTAGCGCTTGAGAAGCAAAATGCCAATCCACCAAAACAGTAATCCTCCTTCCCTGCCAATTATTCCATTATAAACATGCTGTGTGTGTAAAACTTACAATACTTGTAAAACTTACAATACTTGACTGGTGTAAACATTTCTAGACTACAGTCTTTCATCAGATATAGAAAGGAATGGAATCTTACATTGTATTTGTTTCCTAGTGTTTTTTTTAATCCCTGCTTAATAGGAAATCATTAAGGCCTGAAAGATTCCAAATATACATTGATAAGTTTACTTTGTGATGGTTTTAAAATATAAGTTCCTGCTGAAGCAAGCTTTCCTCATCATGCCACTTAAGAACTTTCTTCTTTTTCAAGCATTAGTAATTTGGCCAAGAAACTAAGTTTCAAGGCCAAGTAATGCCAATACCAAGTTACACGTGTATCTTCCAAAGGCATTAGAGTAGGTGTGTTCTGCATTGCTATCAGTGGAAAGGACAGGCAGGGCATCCAATTTTTAATGTAGTTCTAGCCCTAAAGTGGAAAATCCACAGGATTCCAGTAAGCATAGATAATGGTCAGGAGATCATAGGAATTACAGTTCTTCATTTTTGTTTTTAGTGTATTTGTTAATGTAAAAGAAAATATTGGATGTGAAAGAATTCTGGTTAGGAGTGTTCAAAACTGCGTTCAAAATGGGTATTCCAATATTTCCACAATTGTGATGGTATTTCAACCATACAAGTAGTAGTAATTATTATTATTATTATTATTATTATTATTATTATTATTATTATTATTTATTAAATTTATATCCCACCCTTCTCCCCGAAGGGACTCAGGGCAGTGAACAGCCGAGAATTAAAAATAACATACAATATAAAAGTTAAAATAATTAAAAATAAATTAAATTAAATGGCCGCCCCAATTTAAAACCCCTAGCTATACAGTTAAAAAACTAACCCATAAAACCTATTCAGGCCAGGCCGGCTTGCTGAAATAAAAACGCCTTCAGGGCCTTATGGAAAGTGCAGAGATCCGGAATCAGCTGTATTCCGGGAGGTAGCTCGTTCCAGAGGGCGGGTGCTCCCACAGAGAAGGCTTTCCCCCTGAGGGCCGCCAGCCGACATTGCTTGAACGATGGCAACCTGAGGAGGCCCTCTCTGTGAGAGCGTATTGGCCGGTGGAAGGTTATCGGTAGCAGAAGGCGGTCTCGTAAATACCCTGGCCCTAAACCATGGAGCGCTTTAAAGGTGAGAACCAACACCTTGAAGCGCACCCGGAAGACCACCGGGAGCCCGTGCAGCTCGCGCAGGAGAGGTGTTATATGGGAGCACCATGTCGCTCCCGTAATCACCCGCGCGGCCGCATTCTGGACCAGTTGGAGCCTCCGGGTGCTCCTCAAGGGGAGCCCCATGTAGAGAGCATTGGCGTAGTCCAGGCGAGAAGTGACGAGAGCATGAGCGACTGTGCATAAGGAATCCCGACTCAGAAAGGGGTGCAACTGATGTATCAGGCGAACCTGATAAAAAGCCCCCCTGGCCACGGCCATTCGTTTAGTACCAAAGTTACAACAGCACTGAAAAAAGTGACTTATGACCAGTTTTCACATTTGTGACAATTGCAGCATCTCCATAGTCACATGACAAAAATTTGGGTGCTTGGCAACAGGCATGTTCTTATGGCAGTTATACTGTCCTGGAGTCATCTGATTACCATTTATAACCGTCCCATCTGACTTCCAGCAAAGTCAATGTGGGAAACTTCGTTTAACAACTGCATGGTTTACTGTACTTAATAATCTTGGCTAAAAAAAAGTTGTAAAATAGGGCAAGCTCACTTAATCACCTTACTCAGCAATGGAAATGTTGGGTTTCATTGAGGTAAGTTGAAGACTACATGTACTGGAAACTTTCAAGACGTCAAATGGGGTGTTTTAAAGTTGGAATACTTATGGTGGAGTCAAGATAGTTTTGGCACTCTTTGATAAGTTCAATACAGCCATCTTGACCAGACCTACCACCAATCACAGTAAACTAATAAAATGAAATATATCAAATAGGTAAAAACATATTTAAAACAGCTCTCCTGCTTGTGATTAAATTTGGAATACAAGAGTTGCCCTTTGCAGCATTGAATATCATGAGCTAAAGTGTCAGTTTGGGCATTAGATTTGGCATGAACCTTCGCATTGGGTATTGGCCATCTTTAACTTTTGTGATGTCCAAAACCATATGAGCTGCAGAAGCCTTTCATACATGTATGTTTGTCATGTTATTTCCTTACGAAGTAAATGATGCTATAAAAAGTGCTGAAAGAGTAGCTAGTAAGCAAAAAAAAAAAAAACAACACCTAAAGGAAAAGAACAAATAAAATCTTACTAAATTACTCCATTGTGTTTATCTTGCCATGTATGACTATCCTTGCTTCCACTATACTAATTCATTGCTTTGTTCTTTAAGCTTATCTCTCTCTCTCTCTCTCTCTTTTTTTTTTTTTTTGGGAGAATCAACTTTCTCCAATCATGACTTTCTTGGTTTTTCTTTCCTTGCAAGTCATTTTTCTTCATGTATGTATTTATTATACAATTTAATCCTTATACATCTATATACTCTAAAGGTATTTATAGACAATACTTTATATAACAAGGTGGACATACACTTGTTTACATATATGACTACATATTTTCAGTTCTTTCAAGTTTAATTCATTCCTCACAATAAGCCATATTTTACGAGTACCTTTTTACTAGACTATTTCAGGATTTAGAACAATGTTTTTCAAACTTGGCAAGTTTCAAACTTGGCCTTCAACTCCCAGAATTCTCCAGGGAGAATTGTTCAGCATGCTGGTTGGGGAATTCTAGGAGTTTGAAAAACACTGCTTTAGAATCACTCCTTCATTCTCTAAAAGTATACAAATTCATCCATTTCCTTGCATTTCTACCATTGTACTGATAATTGTTCACTTCCCTTTTCTTGTCAAATGCAAACTGTTTGAGAGGAGATTTTCAGAGAGAAAAATGAAAGCCACACTTATTGTTTCATCTCACATTGCAAGCTGCATTTATTCATA